GGAGAAGAACTGATAGAACTAGAGCCAGGGTCAGCTGTGAAAACTGGAGGGATCGGAGCTGTGGGGCTGTTTTGAGTGGAGTTGAGGGTTCAGATCAGCTGAAGAGGGAACATTGAATTAATAGAACTCTGCTTAAAAGTTACACGTGCAGGAAACCTACAGAAGTGGCTCTCAAGCTGGAGCACGCATCAGCATTGTCTCAAAGGATTCATCAACAGGGCTTCTTACTAATGAGTTCTAGAGTATGTACTGTTAGTAAGTTCACAGGCGCTTCTCACCGCCGCTGGTCTTAGGGAGCCACTGATACCCATGCTCTGTAAAACATTTTGTGGAAGCAATTAAGACTCAAGAAACTGTGACAGAGCCACTGTCACACCATGATATCAGGTAGCAATCACTGCTTACCTGCTCTGTCCTTGTCGCTTAGTCTCCTTGAGTCTCTGGAGTCCTAGGACCACGAGGTTCCATCTTCAGTCCTCCTAGCACCTGTCACAGTGCAATCCAAGTGTTAGTTACTGGCACACACACTGAATTTTAATTTTACGCAATTATAATCATTTTTTCACTTTTAAAACCATGTACTTTAAAATGCCTTTGCCATTCTCTTTTGGTTCAGTAGAGGGAGCTATAACACAAACTGTACTAAGTTGCAACGACAAAATTGTTAACTTCCTATTTTTGTCAGTCTCTATTGAAGTATATTATTAGGTGAGTGCTTCATTGATGTGTTGTCAGATTTGATAGACTAGATAGCTACTACCCTGGTTACTGTAGTCATGTTCTGGGCAATGATGCTTTGGCCAGTGGTGGGCCACATATTCGTCAGGGGTCCCACAGTGTTCTGTCACCTGCTGACCATCTTAGTTTATCACGTTTGCCATCTTAGTTCATTACCACGCTGTAATGTTCACACACTGAGGGGCGCTCCGACAGTGTACTCCTCCAAACCCAACCCCATCAGTTCGTCCGTCACACCTGAGTGCAGGGATACAGTTCCACATTCGTTTTGCAGTCACTTAAATCCATACTCAAACTGCTCTGCTTTCTGTCACTGTACATTGCCTGCTTTCAAAACTGATTAGTTTGGGGGTATTTTGTGTTTGGCATTTTAGTAGAGTGCTCCATGACAACCAGAGTTGTCAGCAATTCAGTCCTTTCTGGTGGTGCTATTGAGTATGCTGTTGGGAATGCACATTTTGTTTATCCCGTTCCTTCTGATGGTCTATTAGATAATTTTGAAATGAGTAAAGGAAAAATGATTGCTCACCACTTGATTATAGCAATCTGTTTACATTTAACTTTTTTCTAATTTAAAATTTTACTCATAAACTAATTTTATGTAATATTCTATTATCAATCAGTTATCAAATTATTTGCAATATTAAATAAAATTTGAAATGGTTTTAAATGTAAGTGCTAGGGTAGTAAAGGAAAGAGACTGAAATGCTAACTGGTGTGTAAAATGTTAACAAGAACCATAAACTAGATATCAGTTGTGTAAAACAAAGGATCCAGACTGAGAGAATACCTGGAATAGAAGAAAACGTCCTCGGCCTGATAAAAAGCACATATGAAAACAACAATTAACATCATATTGAAAAGGTATTTATACAGTTCCCCTAAGATCAATAACAAGACAGAACATCTACTCTATTCATTCCTGTTTAGCAGTTGTACTGGAGATTCTAGCCTGTACTGTCAGGCAAGAAAAAGAAGCAAAAAGACATTCAGACTAGAAGGGAAGGAATATGATTGTTTTAAAGAGAGAATGTGATGATTCATATAGAAAATCTTATAGACCTTACCAAAGAATTACTAAAACTAGTGAATGACGGTAGTAAGTTTGCAGATACAGGCTCAGTATACTAAAATTAATTGTATATATTAGCAGTGAGTCATAAAAAGTTAAAAATTGGGGCTGGAGAGATGTTTAAGAGAACTGGCTGCTCATCCAGAGGACCTAGACTCAATTCCCAGCACCCACATGGTAGCTCACAACTGTCTAACTCCAGTTCCAAAAGATACACTGTCATGCAGACATACATGCAGGCAAAATAGCACTGTACATAAAATAAAAATATTTTAAAAAGTAGTTGAAAATGAAGACTACCATATACAAATAGCATAAATGTATAGACTATTAATGGGACCTCCCCCTAGAGGCATTGCAGGTGTGGCTGCTCTGTCTTGTTTGTGTCAGATGGAAGAGAGGAGACAGGCTATGTCTACTCTCTGTGTTCTGTCCTATAAACATCTGAATGATCAGTAGCCTCACACTCCTGGGGTAGGGTTGGGGAGGGAGCTTGCATAAGACAGTGATGTGGCACCAAGCAGGCCTAGACAGGGAGCTAGCCTGAGACAAGCACCAGTCCAGTTCAGATAGGCTCCCAGGATGTGTCGGGGTGGGAGTTGGCATGTCAGAGAATAGAAAAACCCTGCCTGGGACCACAGACCCTTGCTTCAATGGGCTCCTTGAACTGGCTGGGCGAAAACCAAGCCCAAGAAGACTACCAGATCTGTGCCGTGGGGCCCAGACAGAGAGCTAGCCTGACATGACCACCGTCCAATGCCACACAGGCCTAGGAGGGACAGACCATGCCCAAGATTACCCCTGCCTAGTGCTATAGTGCACAAGCAAGGAATAGCACTCCTGAGACCAGCCCAGATCCTGGGTACCACTAAGAGAAGCACAAGTAAGTGATGGAGAAATGGAAGAGAAAGAGAAGTATGTGGGCACAATGAAAAAAGGCAGAATTGGAGAGTGCAGAGCAGTGAGGAACAGCCTGATGTGAGTAGCCAGTCATGCCACCTGAGGTCATGATAGGATCCTGGCCTGTGCTGCCACAGTCGGGGGCAGGGTGCATATCTGGATCCGTGGCCTTGCAGCAGCAAAGGTCTGTTAGCCACCAAAGGCCATGTGGACATCCCTGGCCTGGGCTGCCACCTGGGGAGACAGGTTGATATCTGAAGGCTATACAGAGCTGACCCTACCTCTCACCTGGGCATCATGGGGGAGCTGGTCTTGGAGGTATAAAGGTAGGATAGCTGACTCCACCACCCCTAGCCAGCTGTAATACTCAGGAGAGCAGGCCCTGCACATTGCTAGAGTTGTGGGTGAGCCACCCTGAGGATAAAAATAGGGGAGAGCTAGTACCACTTGTCTCCCATGAGGTGGCATGGATGAGAGAAATGTACCCTGTCCCCCACTACCTGCTGCAGTTGGGAGACCTTGCCCTGCCCCTCACCAGCTGCAGTACTCCAGAGAGTGGGCCTGCACCTCACCTGGGCATCAAGGTAGAGCTGGACCTGGTTGTAGGGATTTCTGGGGAACCAGCTCCCAAGGGCGTAAGAGCAGGAGAGCCAGTGGGCTGACCAATGACCACCCCAGCTACCTCTCAAGCCCAGATCCAGGGCTTTGAACTGGCCCACCTTAACATCTACCCCATTGATGAACTGCTGGAACATATGAACGAGCCTGTCCTACAGATCCAAAACTACAGGATCTCCAGAACATAGGGCAACAACAGGATATCTGAGAGGACTCCCAGTGAGGTACCTGTATATAGAAAATAGACTGTACAGAGTCCAGTGGTGTAGCCACCCAAATACTTTGTAACTTCTCTGTTGGCAGCTGGCTGAGTAAATGAGTCAAGCAGGTCTTGAGTATAGGATCAAGAGTGGGAAAGTTAGCTGGGCAGTGGTGGCACACGCCTTTAATCCCAGCACTTGGGAGGCAGAGGCAGGCAGATTTCTGAGTTCAAGGCCAGCCTGGTCTACAGAGTGAGTTCCAGGACAGCCAGAGATATACAGAGAAACCCTGTCTTGAAAATCAAAACAATAACAACAACAAAAAACAAAAAAAGAAGAAAAACGAGTGGGAAAGTCTTATTACTCTGTATTTCAGCACTCCTTAGTGCTAAAGGCCATATGTCATCCTTTTTACCTGCACTATGCTTTTGTTCTCATCTAGATCTATAACAGTAACCAGAAGAGGTAGCATGTCTGTCTTATGTTAAATGTACATGTTTTAAACTTCTTCACTAGGGCTTTGTAAAGTAAAGTGCTAGTTGCTAATATCAAGAGATGTAGATCCCAGATGTGTGTTCGTTCGTTCGTTCGTTTGTTCTTTCTTTCTTTCTTTCTTTCTTTCTTTCTTTCTTTCTTTCTTTCTTTCTTTCTTTCTTTCTTTCTTCTCTCTCTCTCTCTCTCTCTCTCTCTCTCTCTCTCTCTCTCTCTCTTTCCTTTCCTTTCCTTTCCTTTCTTTCCTTCTGTCCCTCCCTCCCTCTCTCTCTCTCTTTCTCTCTCTCCCTGTGTATGTGTGTGCATGTGTGTATGTGTGTTGTTATTTTTGTGGTGCTGGTGATGGAACCCAAGGCATTGCCCATGCTAGCTAGGCAGGTGCTATATAACTGAGATACACCCCTAACCCCTGGCTCTGTAGATATTTATGTCCACTTTGATGGCCCTTAGTAGGATTCAGATTGGAATTTTCCTAACCGTATGAAAGCTGAGGTTTTTGGTTCCTTTTTGATGTCCAAGTGACTCCCGTGGTTTGGAGCTTACAAACAGACCTTTGGTTACTATTTCATTTTAAACTCCTTATAAATATAGCATGCTTCTAAAATTTATTCAGTAGTTTCCCATCTAAGAACTGTGAAGTTCCAAATACTGGTTTTCCTGGGTGTTTGTTAATGTGTATCTCTTAGTCTCTTATGATTCTCTTGAGCTGCCAAAAACTTAGGAATGATAATATGTGTACTTTTTTTTTAAATGTCTGAAAATTACAAAATGATGTTTCTTCTGCTGTTCTTACAGCCTTCACTGTTTCATAGGCTTTGCACAGGCATGTGAATTTTTTTAAGAAACTTTCTTTAGCAGGTCTAGCTGTGCATCTTCATCAGAACTGCTCAGAATCAGTTACTGCTTTTCTCTGCAGTCCCCAGGGAGCCTACTTGATTTCCTGCTGTGTTCTGACTCACGTCTCTGCCTTTTGTTTTCAGATACTTGTACCTGCTGTTCTCTGGTGATGACCTTCTACCTTTAGACCACTGGGTGTTTAACACAGAGGCTCACCCTCTGCCGGTGTTACATTTAGCCAACACCACTCTTTCAGGTAACCCTGCTGTTCGATGAGCACAGCTCCAGAAGGACCATTCTTACCTGTGTTTTGTTTACATGGACCACTATAGAAATTGTCTGGAGAGGCGCCTTTTGAAAACCTGGACCTCTTCGTCAGTATGCCGGATGAGACTCTTCCCTGCAAGACTTTTCACTTGTAGATATATCAACTTTGAAATTATTCCATTTTATACCTGACCAAAACATGTTCTGGTACACGTAGGACAGAGACCTGATGTGTTTTGATTCTTAATGAGATGGCCACATGAGAAACAATGTCTTATTCTATACTGTCAGTGCAAGTCAAGAACGTAGAGCACCTTACAGGAGCTAGAGATGGCTTTTTGAACCAGTTATACATTTGTTTCCTCCCACCATGGAGCAGCTTTCAAATCAAATATAACACATTGCATAGCCCCTTTCCTCCATTTTAATAATGGAACAAACTGAATGAACATGAACAGAGGAACAGTGTAACTACATTGTAGCAAGAAGACTTGGGAAAGAAACAGATACTGTCCCTGTCTGAATTTTCAAGCTCCTCATTGGATTTTTACCAGACTGGCAGCCATTTCATTCCCAATCTAGTCATTGAAATCTGTTTAGATTTAGTTTTTCTCTGAGGGGCATGATCTCATGAAGAATACTTTTCAAGTCTTTGTCTCCGTATGATATCACTGAACCTGGTATTTATCATAACTGCTGCTTATGAGCCCGAGTGAGGGAGTGTGCATGTCGCTCACGCTAGTGTTGGGAAAGGAGGGAAAGTGCCAGATTGTTGCCTTGAAACCTGTTCTAGAGAAATCCCTGATTTTGTTGGTAGGAAATTATTCTTCTGAACCAGCAACTGTATCAAGCAAACATTTTCTGCTTTAATCTCATAACACAGTTAATAAGTCATTCACCTTACAACTTCATGTGGCTTGGCAGAATTGACTGTACTGTTATGCAGCTCTGTACTTGCTAGAACAAGCCTAATCGCTTTTACGACTTACTAAAGCAAAGGCAAAACATCACAGTGTCCCTTGAGCAGGGTCAGGTCCTTTACTTGTTACCTCACACGTGTGAGCTACTCACAAAGAGTTAAGGTTTTTAAGTTTCTCCAAGATATTATACATCCAAAGAATTATTAGAATAGCTTCAAAATACTTTTCAGTGGCAAATGTGTGATGTAAAGATGACTCACTAAAACAGACATAAACCTAAGGGACTTATAGATCGTGCATTGACTATTTTTGTTGTTGTTATTGCTCTATATTTTGGCAGAAAAAAAGGTAAATTTTTATCAAGAACTATAATAGAAGATAAATAGTGATGCTTATAAATTTTCTGTCCCTTGAATTTCTGTGACAATTCAAGACACTTTCTTTCATTTAGTATAGACGTCATCTGTTGATGACAATAAAATCTGAGAATGAGAACGCTATAGTTGAATATTTCATGAAACACTTTGTTTATGAACTCTACTGTGGATTTCTGAAAACTTATTTCCCTTAGTTGATAGTTTTTCTTTTTATCCCAGTACTAGCTTATAGCAGATTTAAACTGTGGAAAAGAATATAATTGGACATGTTATATGTAAGGTGACCGACCATCTTACACCGTAAGTCATTATCTGATCCTCAGAGCTCAGCCAGTACTCTATGAACTTGCCACCTCAGCCTTGTTCAGTGTTTATAAAAGACAACATGTAGAGGGTGAATTCTAGCACATTTCAAAACCATAATGTCTTTTCCTACTTGACATTTTAAAACTGTAAATGAGAAAGGTAGATGGCTATTATTTTAGAAAAGAAAGATGAGGTTTTGGTTCTCAGAAAAAAAAAAAGTGAGACTTCCTCAAACAGCACAAGCCCGCTCCCAAGTCAAAATAAAGTGAGAAACTGGAGGTGCCAAAGACCAGCAAGCAGGGGACCCTCTGTTCACACTCATGCAGTAAAGGCGCCATCTTGGTTCCCCGGGAATGCTCAAAGGAGATGAGAGTCCTACCCCCACCCAGTGCTCTGTATTGTCCATGTGATCCTGGAGCAGAAGAGAGAAGGCCCAGGTGTGAGCAAGGTTTGGTTCACACAAAGATCTTAAGACTGTCATTTGACCTTGCCCACCCTTGTGATAAGAACTAGAGCTTGTAACAATGCTTTTTCTTCATTGAATACCAAAGGCAATTAAAGTCAGGTACAAATGACTTGCCAGTGTCATGTTTTATTTTGTTAATAGAATTTTTTAAATATTTTTTTCAAAAATCTACCATTATCCCATATTTTGTTTACTTTTTAAGTGTGTGTTTTCTTCCATCCTTCATATCCTTGGCGTTTGTAAACTTTAGTGCTTTAGACTCCATATCATTGTATTTATAAACCCTGAAAAGAACCCAGAAATGCTCACTAACTGATGTCTCTCCAAAGAGCTGGCACCTCACCTTCAGCTTTGGGCAGAGTCATACAGAATAAATAATACATGAAAGTAGGGGCTGTTGAGCACCTTCTACTTGCAGATGTATTGCTCATTTTAGAATCATACCTTTTGTTTCAAACCTGAGTTTTAGAAAATAAATGAACCAATATGAAGCTCTTAAAACTAAGAAATGAGCCCTTCATCAAGAAGTCTCACTGCAGAAAAGCAAGTCCTGAGTTGAAGGTTCTTTCTTCCAGGTGGCTGCACATTTTGTATGCCTCTAATCCCAGCCTGTTCTTGTCCTTCAGCTAGGGTATACATGCACAGAAAGGTCTGGGTATTAGACGAATGCATTCTTTTTACAGAATATTGCCCCTGATTCCCTATGATGTCATCTAGGGCGCCAAGGCTTCCCTTGGCAGGTTTTAAACAAGCCATCTAGGTCATGATCCTCAGCTTCTCATCCTTTCCACTCATTACCAAAGTCTTTGTCAAACTCTGAATTTGTTGATAAAGATTGATGATGCAGTCTCCACTCTGACGGATGTCTCTGAGCGATGCATTCATGAGAGAATGAGTGAATAAGCAGGTACAGAGCATGGCATATGTGCCAAGCTCTGCCTGGCACCACCCCCACCTTACAGCATATCATGTGATCCCAGTAGCATCTTCTGTATGAGAGTGCTCCATGGCATCTTAAATGTTCTCCAAAATGAATCATGTTTCAAAATCCTTAATTTTATATTTCATTTAAATTAAAAAGGAAGATAAAAGGTTTATAATATATTTTAAACGTGGTTCCTATATAATACTAACAACAATAATTGTAGTTAACAACTAAGGTCTCTTGAAAAATGTCAAAGAAATATTTGATTTCTGCTGCATCTTTGACTAAAATATTTACTTTAGAAATAAAAACATTCGTATTTTGTTATTACTTTAATTACTTGATTAGAATCAATATTTTGTAGAAGTCTGCGTTACTTTATATTTAAAAAAAATGTTCCTTAATTCATGGGTATACCTTGCAGTTGTAAATTATTTTTTCTGTAGTATACTTCCTAATAATTTCTTGCATATAAAGAGAATGTACTAGAATTTCTCTAACCCAGTTACTGAGTATAATATAACTTCAGGTTCCTCCTTTTCTCTGGGCTCTTTATCCTGGGCCTGGCTGGCTCCCGCCTCATCTGCCTTTTGCTTACTGTGTATATATACAGTTACACACAGATCTGGAATATGGTCTGCTCACTGATAGGCAGGTGATAATTGCTGTAGGCTATACAGTCTGTCTGCAGAGTATTTAAGCAGTCAACATCTGACCAGGAGCTGTTTCGAGTCACTCATTGTGGTTCTGGGACACTGGGAAGCATGCTTCTGTTCTTCAGCTCACCCATACCCCAATGCAAGTATTCTTTTTTGTTCTGTACACAGCCAGCAAGCTTGTCTGTAAACGGCCAGATAGTGTTTTAAGGTCTGCAAGTCGTGTAGCTCTCTTATTACTCATTTCTGCTGTTACAGCATATAATATGCAAATATATGAGTGGCGCTGTGATGCAATAAACATTTAAAAAAAATAAAAGACAGATGGAGGCCTGGATTTATCCCTTACGTCACAGCTGCTGACCTCAGTCCCGAATTTAATTTCTTAAAACCCTCTAACCTTTAACCTGCATCTTTTCTCTTTTTTATTTGCATAATTCACTTTAAAGCAGAAATATGTGTGTATGTACACATGTATATATTTGTGTCACCTAAAGCTGTATATTTTGCTCTCTTGAAAGTAGATATGTTTTCAGGGTCTCTTCAGGTTTTAGAATATGATTGTCATGAAAGAGGCAGAATGGAGGATAGGCTTTCGGCACCTGTCTCTGTCTTGTTGTTCAATGTCATAATTCCAGACTGCTCATGAAAAAATAATCTGTATGGCATCAGAATACTCATTTCTAACTTTACCTGCTGACTGACCCTTGGACCAAGACTTTGCAATGTAGGAATGTATGCACTCTCTTCTTTTAGAGCTTTCAGATGAGAACGTAGTAGAATTCTGGATCTTGGTGCTGTAGAAAACAATCTTTTGGCAAACTGTGGGCAACACAAAATGAGTTATGTGCCCAGTGCACCCCCTGGTACAGCCATGGCTAGTATGTAGGGTGCTCACTGCTGTTACCCCTAGAGCAGTGTAAGTCTGCGTGAAGGTATGTTCCCAGAGGTACGCCCCCTTCTTGCTTCATTTCATGACGTTCCACAATGCTTTCACAAGTATGCCAGTATGCCTCACTTTGCAGTCAGAGCATCCTTCAACCTCAGCTTTACACTTGCACTGTTTAACAGCCAATCAACAGCTGCAGGACCCACAAAAGGTAAACGTATGTGGTATCATCACTAGTATATATGTTGTGGTGTGCCGGGGCCTGATGGGCAGTAAACTTTCCATGATGCTTATCCAACACTTCACTGTTTTCAGCAATGAAACCTGTATTTGGAAGGATGGGCAGAGAGAGCTCATCTCAGCCTTTTGTCATTGGCATAGATGAACTGCCTTTCAGGCCCTGCCTACTCAGAAGTCACTTCCGCTCTATGTGCATGTGAGCTTCACTACTCCAGAAACACTCAGAACATACATGCAGAGTAATAGGCAGACACCGTGCAGTAACTTGTATGCTACAGAATCCTGTATATTGCACACTAGAAAACCATGAAAAGCAGAGCTCTTTATTGACAGAAACTTACAAGTTCACTTTTGCTGGGTTAACTAGATACAGTATTTCTAATTATAATTGTTGGTTTCGAAGTTGAAATGCCATTCTTTATTCTCACTGGCCTCAAATTCACTGATAACTTTTCCCTAAACTAATATGTGGGTAAGTATAACCTGTGTTATTACCCACTGGCTGCTCCTAAACTGGTTTCCAGTCATGTCCTCCATAATGTGATTTTTTTATAAATCAAAGGTAATATTGTATATTGAAGATCAAATAAAGATGTTCTTTAAGTGAAAAGTCTTTCTCTTTCTCTCTGTTTTTGTTCACCCTACAGTGACAAACAGTTCAGTTTCTTCCTGTCTACAGAAGAGCAACTTTGGCTTTGTTTACAGGGATTGGGGTTCAGTCTTCACTGTTTGAAGCATTTCTTTTGGCTCTGTCTGTTTTCACATTTCTTGATCTTAAGAAAGATAAAGAGCCTGCTTTTATACACTGACTTGAAAAATAGAGCTGCATTTCAACCGTATTGTCCCTGCATAGATGTTAGCCCCAAAACAGCCTTAAACTGGTCAAGAACGAAGCAGTTCCAGCAACAATTTGGGACACTTAGGAATATTTACATACAAACTCTTGGTTGGGCATGTCTTCATTTCTCTTGATTATATATGTGTCTAGAAAGGAAACTGCTAAGTCAGGGTACAGTTGTGCATAACTTGTTTTTATCGATACTGTCTTCCAGGTGACTGCTTTAATGCTCCAGTGTATGGGGGTGGGAGCACCCATTTTCATCCCACCACTGCCTGCCAACAGGAAGCTGAGACCATTGTAGTAATCTTTAAGTTTAAATTGTGCATTTGGATCTGAACACGCCATGGTGCACATGTGGAGGTCAGAGGACACTTGCGGGAGGCATTTCTCTCCTTATACCATGTGACTCTCTGAGATGGACCACAGGTTGTGGGGTTTAGTAGAGAAAGTCTGCCTGCTGAGCCGAGCCGTGTCATCAGTACCATTTAGTGTTAGTTCCCAGCTCTCTACATCACTGGCACTGGCCATCCATTCAACTAGTACCTCTCTTCAGGGTTAGCTTTACATATGCTCTGCCCAGTTTTGCCTCTTACTAAGCTGTGAGTTCTGAATACATTCTGTTTGGTGTTCTCTGGGATGTTGATGAGCCCTCTGTCTTAATGGTGTCCCTGAAGAACAGAAGAGTTTAGTATTGATGAACTGTGTAAGGTCAATGTGTTCTCTGATGGATTATGCTTTCTTGCCTAATTTAGTGTTACCATGAGTTTTGATGAAAAGCTAACTTGTTTTCGATCTCACATGGAGGCGTGTTATCAGTTCTGTGTTTTTCCCTGCATGTATGGTGAAGGCTGACTGGTATTGTATGTCTGCCCTTGGCATTGCTCTGGTACCTTTGTGAAGTGACAGCCGATGGCTGCTGTGAGGCTTTATTTCTAGGCTCATCTTGCTGACTGGCACTTGTCTTCTCTAGTCTAGGGCTGTTGGGGTGTTGGTGGGTAGCTGGGCAGCAGTGTTTTTCAGCCAGCAGAGGGATTTGCACCTTGTCAATGGAATTTGCACCCCTCTGTGAGCAGGCTGTGTTCCAGGCATCTGACTGGGCTAATTGCAACTGGCATCTCACAGGATACAAGGCAGGGAAGAGGCAGCTTTAAGTCACCTGGTCTTTTTACTTAAAAAATAAGAACTGGTTAAATCATTACTAGAACAACTGGATTCTGGTTTTATCAGATCTCCCCCACCTAAGAAAATGGTATTTTTTTATCTAGTGATTTGTCTGGATGACTTACTGGTGTCCAGCCACCGATGTCTGCTCAGTTCCCTGCACATTTCTTGAACCTGGATTCTTGGAAGTCAGCCCTGTAGCATGTTAACTCAGTGGTTAGCCAGTGTTTGTCAGAGGCTTGGAAAGGATTCTGCCCTTTGCAGGTCTCTAACACACACACACAGTGCAGCCACAAGTGGTCAGCGTTTACTTTAGCCCGGACATTTCTCCCGTTTTCTGCCCATACCCAAGGCTTCTTGCATAGGCTTTGACATAGCCAGGGCTTCCCCTGATCTCTCCTGAATCTGTACTCAGCCTTGTTCCTCGATCAATACGTAAGAGTCTTCCAACCACCAGGGCCATGTGGCCAGGTACAGCACAGCTGCCACACTCCACAGAGCTCTGATGTCTTCTGCCAGCCAGTCCACAGCTTGCCCAACTGGAACCAAGACATCAGGTTACCTGTATCGGCTTTTCCAGTTCATTTGCTATTGACATTGCATGTCTTTCTCTCTTCCTTCTTCCTCCTTCTTCCTCCTCTCCTCATACCCACCCAGCTTGACCCCAGGATCAGACCTACATATGCTACACAGGTGTTCTCCTGACCTACGTCTCAGCTTCCCATCTGATCCCAAGGAGCAATGCCTGGGTCCTGAGCATCTCTGTACTATAGTGTAGACCCAGTCCTCCCCACATAGCCCACCCCACTCTAGTAGAACTGCTACTGAAGTGGCTGGAGGGAGGGGAACTTTCTGGGCTCAAATACCATGGCCTCATTGTTCTGTTCCGAGGCTCGTAGTTTAACCTCAACAATTAGTCACTAATGTTTTATATCTGTAGCCAGTTTTTAGCATTCTAAAATGCTTATTTGTTTTTTTTTTTTAATAGACTCTTAGGAGGAGTTGTTGATCTAAAAGTAAGTTCCTTTTTTGTCTTGCTCCAGTATGTCTAAAGGTTTTACAGAGCCTTCCTTGGTTTCCCTACCTGCAGGCTCTCCCATCCAACACTGGCTCCATCACATTCTGCCTTGTATGGCACCCACATATGACACGTCTTTACCTGGCTGGCCGCAGTGCAGCTGTTTCATAACAGAATATACTAGGTGTCATTTTATTCCAGGTATTTGTGGAATAAACACCCCAGTCTTTGGAGTCCAGAACTCTTCCACCAGATGAGACCGCCTCATTTAAGGGTGACTATAGTCCACTTCTCTTGTTTCTGAATTTTTCTATCATCAGAAACATTGCTAAAGTCATTTAACATGAAGAAAATATCTAACCATGAGAACTAAGTCAAATAGTTTTTTGTTTTGTTTGTTGTTGGTTTGATTTTTGTTATGTTTTTGTCGTTGGGGTATGAGGGGGGGGAGTACTGTGGCTGCACAGTGAGTCTGGAGGAAGGCTCAGGTAGGGAGAACAATGAAATCTAGCTAGTAAGAAACGGGTCAGAATCACACCTGGTTGAGTGTAGTAAACCTGTAGGCAAGTTATTCAACTTTGGGTAGGATCTTATTTCTTATGAAATGGATCTGGGCTAGAAAACTTGAAAGTGACTCATGGCATACTGTTTCAAGCTCCTGCTTGCCAGGAGTTGTATACAGAAGCCAAAATAAAACCCATACCTTCAGACAAGGACTGGCTAGCTTTATCTTCAAGAATGTGTGTGTGTGTGTGTGTGTGTGTGTGTGTGTGTGTGTGTGTGTGTGTGTG